ATCTGTGGGGCTTAGCGCCGTATGTGTAGGGTATCTGTGTGAGGAGTGAAATGATCTGCACTCGTTTAAGTTCGGTATGAGACTGTTTATTTATAAATCAAATTAATACATGCTAGGGCACAGGTGACATCATAATCACATGATCAGAATCGGAATCACATGATGACATAGAATGGGGGCGATGACCGCCACAATATTCCCCCCTTTTTAAAAAAAATTTTCGTTATACAATGTTAACAATAAGTTCAGTACCTAGAATCTATCAATATTGTCCATTAAATGCGATTACACAGTAAGTACACATACACTTACAGTCCATTATATAGTCCATTATTTACTGATTAAATGCCATAACATATTATTCACTACACTTTTCCACTGTTCACAATATTTCGTTTCTTACACAATGATCTGCTGGGTGGCCGGCCCGTGTGGGACCGGGTCACCTCGGCGAACCAAGGTTGTCGGCAGTTCCTGTAGCTCCCTTCGCATATATCGACCGTAATTTGTTTTGCATTGTCTCCAGAAAAGGTATCCAATGACGGTGATAATGAAGAGCAAAATACAGAGCACATACAGTTCTACTCGCTCTATCCACAGGTTCTTAGTTATGGTTGTTGCAGCAGCGCTGTTACCGGCGCCGTTTTGAGCAATCAGTACTTTTCCTTCGGTAAAGCTACTTTGAGTTTTTCCCATGATGATGTTATATTAAAATGCGTTGCTTACTGAATGTGTTTACGACACGAAGCGTACGACAGGTTTGATGATGCGTCCCGATCTAGTAACTAGCGGTGCATTGTTTACATGATCTGTGTCCTTATTTGGTGCCTCTCTAGAATATGCAGTGTCAGGCATAAAAGCTGGCTTCAATCGATCTATACTAACGCATTTCTCTGTATCTGCTTGCAATATTTTATAATATTTCTCATGCTTTTCTATTACCTTGTACGGACCTGTATAGGGTGGCGTTAAAGGTTTTCTTACTTTGTCTTCGCGTATAAATACATGAGAGCAGTTTTTTAAGTCAGCATGAATAAAAACATTGCTTTGCTTCGGATCTCTCTTGGGGACTGCCGATAATTTTGATATTTTTCTTCGTAATTCTTGAACAAAACAATCGTTGTCGTATACGTTTTGTGTATTCGGTTCGAAAAAGTCACTGGGCAATCTAATAACTTCTCCATACACCAACTCGGCGGCACTGATTTGGGTGTCGTCTCGTAAACTAGTTCTTAACCCAAGTAACACTGTTGGTAGTTCTGAAACCCAGTCGCTTGTATTTCCTCTGCACATAAGGGCTGATTTGAGGATACGGTGCCATCTTTCGATCATTCCATTCGACTGCGGATGGTAAGCGCATGTTCGTATACGTGAAATACCCATTTTCTTGGTAAGATGATTGAATAGGTGGGATTCGAATTGTCGGCCTTGGTCCGTAGTCAATCTTAATGGACATCCAAACCTAGATATCCATCCGGTGTAAATTATATCGGCTACTGTCTCAGATGTAATATCCTTAACAGGGTATGCTTCTGGCCAACCTGTACTTCTATCCATCATTGTCACGATGTATCGGTAGCCATCAGAATATTGCATCGGGCCAACTATGTCCATGTGTAAGTGTTCAAATCTGTTGCTGTGCATAAATTTTCCATGAGGCGATATTGTATGTCGTTGAACTTTGCACCTCTGACAATTAAGGCAAGCCTTGGTCCAGCTAGTAACATCCTTATTCATAGACTTCCAAAAGTATCTATTGCGAATCATATTTCTCGTTGTTCGAATGCTTGGGTGACTAATGTCGTGTACAGCTTTGTAGGCTGATATACGAAATTCTTTAGGCAAATATGGTCTTGCTACTTCTTTCGACACTTCACAATAAATCGGCAAATTACAATGTGGGAAATATATACGTTTGAAACGTAATGTATTTGATTGCATCAATTCCTTCAATTCCGAGTCATTTAATTGTGCTTTAGCTACCTTTTCGTAGTTGATGCCTGAGTCTATGGACGATATACGTGATAATGTATCCGCCACGACGTTGTCTACCCCGCTAATGTGTTCAATCGCTGTGCAAAACTGCATGATGAAATCCAGATGCCTTAATCGTCTGGGTGTGTCATTGTTGCTAACTGAAGTCTTCGTTAGGGCGTGGACTAGGGGTTTGTGATCGGTATATACCGTTATAGGCCTCCCTTCGATTAGGTACCGGAAGTGTTTCACTGCCATATATATTGCCAATAGTTCGCGGTCGAAGGTGCTATATCGTTGTTGAGTTTCACTGAGCTTTGTAGAGAAAAATCCTAACGGTTTCCATATGTTGCCCTCTCTCTGCTGTAGTACTGCCCCGGCGCACGTGTTGGAACAGTCGGTCATTAGAGCCATAGGCACATCAGTTGACGGGAACGATAAAGTAACTGCCTTTAACAGGCTTTGTTTACTTAGTTCGAAGGCTTCAATACTCTCCTCAGTCCATGTAATCGGGCTCTTATCTTTCCTTTTACTGTTTATCAAATATGCATTTAACTTTGCAAAAGTTTCTGCTGCATGAGGAAGATGTTTTCTGTAAAAGTTTATCATGCCCAGGTAACGGCGCAACTCATCGACGGTCTTCGGCCTTGGAAACTCTGATATCACTCGAACTTGTTTGTCTGTAGGTTTCAAACCTTTTTTGGACACATGGAATCCTAAATATTCAAGTTCCATCTTCCCAAAATCGCATTTTGCTAAGTTAATTGTTATTCCAAACTCGTTCAGACGTTGTAATACTTTTCTAACTTGCTGTTTATGAATATTTGCATCATTTTCTGTGGCTATGATGATGTCATCAAGGTATATAAATATGAAATCTAAGTCGCGTAGAACGACATCATTCAAAAATCTTTGAAAGGTTTGCCCTGCATTCCTTAAGCCAAATGTCATTTTTGTAAACTCGTAGAGGCCAAAAGGCGTTGTTATAGCTGTCTTCTCTATATCCCGCTCTGCTACGGGTATGTTGTGGTAAGCACGTTGTAAATCTAGCCGGGTAAATAGTGATTTTCCTGAGAGTAAATAAGTGCAGTCCTGAATCCGAGGTATGGGATAGCGGTCGGGTGTTGTGATAGCGTTTAGCTGTCGGTAATCGCCGCAGGGTCTAATACCTCCATCTTTCTTGTTGACTACATGTAGTGGACTCGCCCAACAACTCTTCGAAGGCCTACATATGCCCATCTCCTGCATACGTTGGAATTCGGCCTTAACTCTCATATATTTACATGGCGGAAGTGGTCTCGGTCGTGCGTAGACAGGAGCGCCTTTGGTGTCTATGTGATGGACTACAGAATGGCGTGGAGTGGTTTTGAAACACATTGGTTTAGTGACATCGGGGAACTCTGCTAACAGATCACTGTAGTCGCTAGCATAGTTTATTGTGTGAATAGTCGGTTGCTCGGATAGAGAGAGCGTAGCAACACAACACAAGCTGGTCACTGAGTCTATTATTTTCTTTCTATGAACATCAACTAATAACTTGTGGTGGTTCAGGAAGTCCGCACCTAATATGGGCTGTTTTACCTCAGCAATAACGAAAGTCCAGCGGTAAGGTCGCCGCAAATTAAAATTTAAGTCTAGAGTTTTAGTGCCATAAGTTCGAATTTCACTACCATTTGCGGCATAAAGTTTGTATTCGCTGCACTTCTCACGGTAGTACGGTTTTTTTATTGCTGGTAGTACAGATATGTTAGCGCCGGTGTCAACTAAAAAGTTAAGTCCACTATTGTTATCTAAAATACATAGGCGGTTTACTGGGACAATGGCACAAATCTCCGCCTGTGACTGCGCCACGATTAGTTTTCCTTGTGTTCTTCCTTCTTCCAGGCGCACGGCTCCACGCATTTTATTGCTCTGTTACGAAACTTTTTGTGATAATAACAAAGCCAACCGGGAGTATCAGGTGTCCGGCGATTCATATGACGCGAACGAGATGCTGATTGCGATCGCCTACGATGAAACGGTTTATTAAAGTTTCTATAATTGTTTCTTCCGCGTCCCATTTCGTCAATTTTTGCAGTTAACTTTGCGATTTCTGCCATAATAGAATTTTGGTCAGTGTGTGTATTGACACTGGTCGAGGTTTGCACTTCGGATACTTGAAATGGTTTCGAGGTCTCCATCACTTTGTCAGCTATCGCGGCGAGAGTCTCCAAATTTTTCGCTTCTGTAACTGCCAGCACGGCTCTCACTGGTGAAGGTAGGTGTCCTTGCCACATAATAGAAAGAGTCTCGTCAGGTATTTTCTCGCGTGCAAGATCTCTCATTCGACGCAAAAGCTGTGAAGGCTTTTGGTCGCCTAACTCCATCTCACTCAGCAGTTTTTGGAATTGCCGCATTTCTGATTCTTCATAAACGGTTAACAACCGCGCCTTCAGAGTTTCGAATTTCTTCGTTTCCGGTGGTTTCAACAAAATGTCGCTAACTTGCTGCACAACTTCTTTGCCGAGCTTAGTGACGACCATGTTGAACCTCGCTTCGTCGCTTAGTTTTTGAGGACTCAGCACTGCTTCGCATTGCACGAACCACAGTCGCGGCTGATCACGCCAAAAATCAGGAATCCTTGAGGACACTGTTACGGTCGCTAGCTCCACCACTTCGGGTTGTACTTTTGGTTGAGTCGCCATTGTAAATTCGAAAGTAATTTGTTCACGTTTTCCGAAAAAAGCACGTCAGTTGGACGATCACGTCGGGGTCACCATATGTGGGGCTTAGCGCCGTATGTGTAGGGTATCTGTGTGAGGAGTGAAATGATCTGCACTCGTTTAAGTTCGGTATGAGACTGTTTATTTATAAATCAAATTAATACATGCTAGGGCACAGGTGACATCATAATCACATGATCAGAATCGGAATCACATGATGACATAGAATGGGGGCGATGACCGCCACACATCTTTCACATGACGTTTATAATAGAAACTAGAATCCAACAAAGAATGGAATAAATTGATATATTTTTGTTACAGGAATGGAACGACTACAAATTGAAGTGGAACCCTGACGACTACGGCGGTGTGGAGACTCTGCATGTACCTTCTGAACACATATGGTTGCCTGATATTGTATTGTACAATAAGTGAGTTCGATATCACATAAGTTGTTCTATTTTTGTACCAAATTTATAAGTGATTGTAGTTTTTGTTCACAATTTTGTTGTGTTTAATACTCTCGTAGTATACTTAGCAGTACTTTTTTTATGTATAATTTGTGTGACTTTATTTAGTAGGTACATCGTATCTTTAGCAATTAAACCTCACATTGCAAACTCATTATCTTAAGTTGAGTGTAGATAATATCATCGCAAATAATAGTACAATTCTGAAAACAATATAAAGGTCAACAATATAAAAAGGGTGGTCAGTTTTCATACACTTAAATTCAATGCCATAGTGTCATAACTCATCGTATTAAAAAATTGATAAACCTCACGAAAGTCCTTTGACAAATAATGATAGCAAAAAATAGCCAACATCAACTTTAAACAGTTTAGTTCAAAATCCATTATTCGTCAAGCAACATGACATTAAAACGAACACACACAAATACCAGCTATAAACATTAATCTCACTCTGGACCCATTTACTTAAGAAACAATTTAAGAAAACTTTCAAACGAACCTGTGTCTCCTAACTTTGACACTATTCCACTCCCTCCAATGAAACTTAACTTTTCTCTCTTGTATAAACTCTTTTTATAAAAGCCTTATCTCTTCATTTCCGGTTTGCGGGCAAAAGTCCCATTAGGTTGCATTATCGTGACATCTTGACGAGACTCGCCGTAGAATCTGATGCTGAGACAAAAGTATGTGGCTAATCTCAAGTTGTGCTCACTGGAATAGTATATTCTGGTGTAATGTTTACTTTGTTTTGTTTTGGATATTGTTACCAATGTTGGACACAAATGTTGGTGGAAGTTTTGTGGCTGTTTGGTTATGAATATTATCGTCCGTTTCTAATGAATTTTGGATTTGGAGCTTCATAAAGCAGATCCATGCTTTATGAAGCTTTTTCTATTTGTTTGTGTTTCGAAAGCAATGCACCATATTTGATGATTTCTAAAATGAAATCTAATTTTATTGAAAGCAGATAATGGTGCACATCAATACAGTTCACCCATAAACGATAAACCGGTAGAGATAGAAATTTAGTTACCATAATCGAAAACAGCATTCGGAGATATTTTCCTAACACGCAATCAATAACCGCACTTTTGGCAGACGCTAGACACCAAAATCGATCCTAACGCCCCCTATCGCAACGCGACCGCCTTAAAAATCTTTATACTTGCAACGCTAACCATTATCAGTGGCAGTTCACCGCATTTATATGCATTAACGCCACGTAAGCTCTCAACTTTGCAGGATTTAAGAGCTTATCTTCATTCAAATAAAGCTGAATTTTGAATAGGTAGTCGGTATCTAGGTGAGGCAGAGAATGCGCCCGAAGTTGGCCAGGCGGAAGGCACGATAAGTGCGGGCTTTAATCTAAATAGCATCAAGGTGGAGTATCGAACTAAACACGCCACGGTAAGCATTCATTATTAACAAACGCTAGACATTGAAATCTCTTTGATGCAGTTTAGTCTCAATTTGTATCAAAGGAAACGGATTTCTAAATTGAATTGAAACTCTGAAGCCTCATCAACATTAATCATGTTGAGATCTTTCTCTTTAATAAAAAGTAAGTTTCCGTTGCCCTTTTAGACGTAGATAATTTTTGTTTTTGTCTTTTTGTTCTTGTGTTTATAGTTTTTTTTTTGTTAGTTACATGGCCTCTTATGCCAAGCAGGCATTCTGCTGGCATTATTATTGTTCTTATTTTTGGATAATCATAAAATGATCATTGGAACGTTCTTTGTCATTTGATTACCCCTTCACTCTAAGAATCCTTGTGTAGGGCAGCGTTTAAAAAAATGTCATGGCATTGTTTATTGTTTGTGTAGCTCTACTGGATTTCCGTTTCTTATAGATATGTTTAAGTAGAATTATGAATTTACTAAATCATAATTATGTAATATTATTATTGTAACTTTATTGAAAATTAGTTTCATTAAAGGAGTCATTTAGCCATGCAGTAAAATAGATGACAATGTAGGTATTTTTGCCTCCATCCACAGTATCCAACCACACTAATTTAATGTCCATAAAAATTCTATCAACATTTTTGTTAATTTCACTTGTCTTATTGCCGTTTAAATATTCTGACGCTAGAGGAGTTGCCCTAATTTCTAAATTGACAGTCGCAGTTGATTGCTTAATTCTATCTATTTTATTTAACGTTTCATACCGTTCTGGGAGTTTTTTTCCGTCTCCTGTGTAGTTAATTTGCAATTTAGTTATAATTTTAGTACTTGTTTTAATATTTAGTTCATATTTTTATTTTTAGGTATCATAACTATTTACCTAGTTTATCTCGGTCAAAATGTTGTATTGATAACAACAATAATCGTCATCAAATAGCGACATTCTAGATTTTACGATGATAACTTTCCGTTCTCTCCAAGTTAATCTCTAAGATAAAATCCTCAACAAATCATTTATAACTAACGTATCTTTTACGTGCAGACATCTATAGTTACTAAGGTCAATGACTTATACGTACTTGTCAAAAGGATAAGGAAAATAATGTTGATAAATATTAATTAGAGCTTCTTTCCACCCATTCTTCAACTCACTGCTCAACAAATATTTTAATAAAATTCACAAGATGTAAATCCAAAGATTTCACAAAATCTTGCCCTGTTTGAGAAAGTTTCATAATAAGCATTCAAATTATCCGAATTGGGTTCAATTCCCGCTTGACACAAGTTTACAATTGGATTAATTTTGGATTATCCAAGTTTGATAGCAGGAACCGTTAAACTACGGTGCCAAGTTATTTTAACTTTGTAGTTTATTGCAAATGGTTTAGGTTTTCATTCCTCAGTTAGAAATTTGATCTATAAATAAGCGTTAAGACTTGGCTGTGGTTGCTAGCTCCAGGTGCCAGAGAGGATTTGCTAATTAGATGCAATTTGTTTTGTGTCTGAACACTAATAGTTATAGCGTTCATTCAAAACTAAACTTTACCCATTGTCAGATAAATCTTAAAATGATTTAATCTGCACCAACAAACCGATATCAGTGAAACCGAATCCGCCGAGTTCTCGAATTGGAATTTCAAAGCGCATCGATTGTTCACTAAGTACGGAATCTTTTTAGTACCTTCATTTGTATTCTTTGGAGTTCGTTACTTACTTTTAGTACGGCAAACTTTATATCAAATAAAATATAAATTCTAGCAGCTCTACTCATATATTAAGGTTGTTAGAAGCTCTCAGTTGACGTGACTGTAATATTTTTAAATTTAACCAAATAGATGTAGCACTTTAATGCACCTGTGACTTCCCCTAAAAGCCCACTCCGCGAATATTCAGTGTTAACTTTATTTTTAATGGTACGGCGTTAGCTTAATGGAAGACAAGACGACCTATTTTACGGGACAATTTTCATGAATGCGCAAAAGTTGGTTATGACAAAGCTTTTAGAGGCTTCAACGTCAATTTTGTACCGACAACGAATGGCGGGATCAAATGGAAGGGTGCCGATTTTGATGTAGATATTTGGTTGAGGCTTTCGATTTTAATTATGTGAGCGGTTTGATCGAGTGGTTTATTAAGTTAAGTTTGGGAATTAATTTTTATTCTTTGGGATCTTATTCTGATGTTGATTACTGGTGTGTTTGTTCTATTGTATATCAGGTTAAAATCTCGAATCTAACAAATATTAATTAGCATTAGTTTACTATTACTTACAATCATCATAATAGTTGTCTACTTTTTTACATTCTACATGTCTGTTTGTAGTTTTAAAGCCGATTTTCAATGCTCAGTTAAATTTTATCAGTTTAACTTTGAATATTTCACAATTATTCTTCCGTACTAAAAACTGGGAAATGTCAATTTTATTCTAAAATTAACTGATGATTGAGAAATCAGCTCTAATAGCTTCTCCGTAGAAAATAAACGGTACTAATAAAAAAAATCGTTTCAAAAAGTCTATAAAAATCAAACGTAGTGTTGTCAAGACAAACAATAGTAGCAATCAGATTACGTTCTATGTGTAGTAATTAGCATTGCGGCAGTAAATCAGCCACTAAGTTTGACACGCACAAGGATCAAGTTGATATACTGGTTGTAGTCACATTGACTACTGACGACCACATAAATACTTGTAAGTGACGTCACTGCGGATAGATTGGCTGGCACTGCTGAATCGGTTTCTTTTATTTTCGTCCTTAGATTGTAGCATTGCGTTTTGAACTTTGTGTTGTAAAGAATTATGTTGGTTATTATTTGTATTTTGTTCGTAATATTGTGCGGTAGATGTCTACGTAGAAATAGATGAGACTAATTTCTATTTTACTGTTAATAACAGAACTTCGTTATACACGCATGTCTATGTAGTAAATTGGATTTCAAATCAAATTGCTATGAAACTAATTTAATTTAATCTATAAACATTGATAAAGTTTAAACTACTCTCAGTCTCTCAGAAACATGTTTACCGTTACCTAGCTATTTATATTAATATTTGGATATAACATAAAATAACATCACGCCTTTTATCCTCGAAGGGGTAGGCAGAGGTGCACATAGACGTAACACCCACTTTTCACTAATTATGTTATGAGTCACATGTAATAGGGGGTGAGCTTATTGCCATATACCGGGCACATTTCCAGACCCCGTGCTACTATTGACATTTTTTTTAAAACCCAATAATACTATGCCCGACCCGGGAATCGAACCCGAAACCCCTTGCCCGGCAGTCGCACTTGCGACCACTCGGCAACGAGGCAGTCAATTCAAGTATTAATATTTTCTTCAGCAAATAATTAAAATAATGGGACTACTGTACTTGATGTAAATTATACCTCATCAAGAGTAAAGTAAGAAATTACCCTTCTAAAATGTTCACGCAAATTTCTAAGAAGTATGAACATGGATTTAAATTTATATTAAGAGCCGTTACCTTTGCAAAGTGAAAACGCTTTAAATGATTTCATTAAATATATTCAAAGCGACGGTAAATTTTTCTCCTGTACTGTTAACCTACATTTTATTCACAGTTCAGAATTTTGTTAGATTTTAAACAATGTTTTGTGTTACGAAACATAATATGCTTGGTGTATTACATTATATTATGTATAGTAGTTTTATGAAGTTTTTGACTGCCTCGTTGACCGAGTGGTCGCAAATGCGACTGCCGGGCAAGGGGTCTCTCGGTTCGATACTGGTCAGGCAAATATTTTCTAAAAAAAAATCTCAGTAGTAGCACGGAGTCTGGAATTGTGTCCGGTATATAGCAATATGTTCTACCCCTATTACATGGAACTCTTAACATAAATAGTGAAAAACATTATATAGTGGCATTAAATGCTGCAATGTGCGCCTCTGCCTATTCGTTCGGGGATTAAAAGGTTGTTTATTTATCTATTTATTAGGTTAACAAACAAATATTTACACTTTGGTATGTACAATAACTACATACTGGCTAACACAGCACATAAAATGTTATGTTATATATGTTTTAAATTAATACATGCACTTGTAAAGGACGCCTTTTATTTTTTGAAGAGCAAAAGTGACCAGTTGCGCAATACACATGGTACTAGTACGCTTGTTTAAAATAGGTATTTTATTATTTTAATAGAATATCATAGTTTGACAACATGTACAAATAATTAGAATCAAGGAACTATACCCAAGAATATTTAACCCATCTGTGATCCGACATCAAGATCACAAAGTTCAACAGCTCATCATAACCAAGACCAATTTAAATTTAATATCTTGAAATTATTTAAGAAATGTTTATCCTAATTCAACAATTTCTTTCCAGCGCCGACGGCAACTACGAAGTGACAATTATGACGAAAGCAATTCTTCATCACGACGGTAAAGTAGTGTGGAAACCACCTGCCATTTACAAGTCCTTCTGTGAGATTGACGTGGAGTACTTCCCTTTTGATGAGCAGACCTGCTTCATGAAGTTCGGCTCTTGGAGTTACGATGGCTACATGGTGAGTGGAATTTGATAATCTTAGTCTATATGTAGAGGTATAAAAATGAAACCCGTTTCCTGTTGTCACGCTATAACTTGAAAACGGCTTGACCGATTTGGCTGATTTTTTGTTTGTTATTGTCAGAAGAACGTTTTTATGACGAAAAAATTCTGATAATACTATGGGAACGGGAGAAAACGGGATTGCGCGTACGAAGTCACGGGCAGAAGCTAGTAATATTATGAATGCGAAACTTTGTAATTTTGAGTATGTTTGTGCATGTTTGTTACTCAATCATGACAAAACGGCTGAAGGGATCGCCTTGAAATTTGGAACAGGAATAGATAATGATCTGAAATAAAACAGGCTATTTTTTATCTGACAAAAACGTGGGTAAAGCTGCAAGCAGAAGCTATTACCAACAGAAGTAATTTGATGGTCTCATTTTTTATTTTATTTTTTTATATTTGATGAGCCCACGTTTGACCACTATCTCACCTGGTAGTTAACGATGATGCGATTTACGATGGAGTACTTGCTAATCCACCTTGAGCAAACGTAGTGATTAATACTTAAACCTTCACCGTATGAGAAGAGACTTTTGCTCTGCAATAGTCACCTATAGGCTGTTGATGTGATGTTGTTGGTGTCACTAATACTAGTAATAGGCAGAGTAAATGATTTTTAAAAATAAACTTTTTTATCAAATTTGTTCTTATAAGTAATGACGAAAACTGAATATTTCTAAGTGCAACTGCCAACGTAACGTCTTTAGTCTGATTTACCGGATCACGCGAAGTTATTATGATCAAGATCAACCGGAAGATAAAGAGCTCAACTTCTTTGTACCAAAAGTAATCCCCATATGAACCATGTCGCTCTCTCCTATACCTCCTATACCTCTATGTACTCTGTACTGCTGCCTATGCTCTCTGTACTGAATGGCTCACTTTGGCACATTTTCAACATCCATCCTAACATCCATGTATGAGCTATTATCGATGCCGTTAGTAATTCAACAAAGAATAAACTGCCAAGGTATTGTGCCGTTAGGAACAGAAACACAATATAGACAGAATTCGAAGTTATATGGTTAACAGATTTTTTTTTTGAGAGAGCGTTAAATGAGCACATTGCTTTACTGACGGACGGCCAAACGTTCCAAAAGTACCTATGCGTTGTTTAGTTTGAATTTGACTTTGATATTATCTTGGTTATTAAGGGAAGGGAAGAAGAATGGTAAATTACTGAATGACTAGTTTTATACGCAAATATATAAAATATATGCCCTTTCTGCAGTCGGGTAAAAATGAACCGTGGGTCAGCTAACATAAAGTTCTTGATACAATTTGTGGTATATTAAAAAAAACGTTTAATCTCATCGTATGCTCAAATAACATACGTGTTTAAAAATATAAAGAATATAATTTATTAAATAAATCGTCACCTCTTTGGAACTATCAATGAATTGGCTGTAACCTTACAAAGACAGCCAATTGATTGATATTTTTGATACACAAAAACACCAAAATTCAAAAAGATCCCAGAAAATCCGACTAAGCAGTTAGTACAACATCATCTCTCATATCAAAATGTTGCTGTGCCCTACAGGGTCCATAATTGTTACTATGGTTTTTTCTAACTGTATGTGTACATTAAAAATGCAATAAATACTTGAATACTTGATTACAAACACTAGTACAAGGAAAAACGTCAGAAAAATAAATCTTGAAGCAGTAGAAGTCACATAAAACTGTAACATATGACGTCACGTTACTGCCGTATGTCCATTCGAATTTACGTTCATGGGAAAATGACGACAGAATGATTGATTCAAAATGTCATTTCATAGATTCACGACGAAATCATATTTTTATATATTCATTTGTTATACAGTCGAGGTAATATTTATTTAGTAACTTACAAAATTATACGTGTAATAATTGGGATGATGAAAGGGTATGAAAATTAAAAATATAATTAGTCCGTAAGTTAGGTAATGAAAAATAATTCGACACGTATTTTTTTATTTTGTCGTATAATAACACAATACTTATTTAAACTAATCAAAGTTTAGGAGTGGGGGCTAAAACGTCATATCTACGTATAAAATATACCAATAAAATACCTATAAAAATTATAAAATAATAATAGGATTTTAAATATAATCTTTATTGAGAGGCAGTTAGGGTTCTAAATGTCGTAAAATCATAAGTAAACTTATTAGAAATCGTTTTTATATGCAGACGATCCATCATGTTTGTCATAAAATAACGAAAATGGGACTCGCCCTAGGCGTTTTACTTAAGAAATCTGTTACTGAAAATGAATTTTGTACTACTACCTATATTTAAAAAAAATCTGTCACCGTAAATTGATTTTGTACTAACACTCATTTTTTTCTCGTACAAAGTGCTTGGGCCCTAATAAAATTGTATGAAACAAAAAAAAATGGTGTCCTAATCGAATTTCGTAGCGAAACGCTTAGAGGGAATGTAATCGAATTCTTTGCCTTTTTCAATACTTACTGTCGCGAGAGATATATTTGTTTCTGCCTGTTTATAAGTATTTAAAGCTGCTTTCAAGAGCAAATGAACGAACTTTAGCTACTTTAGCTGTATTTAGTTTTGCAAAATTTTGATATTTAGTTAATGCCACTATTCGTTCACATACTTGTATCTATTGACTTGGCAGTGATTCTTAGACGTTGATAGGTAACTCTATATCAAGCAGAGTAAATTTAAAAATATAATATACATAGGTAGGTATTATTACAGGTACCATAGTAGCTTCTGTGCGCATTTTAGTATAAGTAACAAGTACATAATAATAAGAAAAAAGTATAATACTGAATTGTGGAAAATTACTAGTGTACAAGTACCACAGTCCTTATAGCCTAAGCTCAAAACAGACGCATCCATCTATCGCACTAAGGAGCCTAATAAATCTGTGGTCACCTACTTTCCCATAAATAAAGTCTTGGCTTACGTCTGCGCCTTATATCGGCCGAGTTAAGGTTAACGGGGGAATTCAGGTAGCCTCTATCCCTTTCCTTCCTTATAGTCTTATGCGATAGCAATAACAGCTATTTGTAAAGCTTCGCGTGAATGGTTTGATTCCTTAATAATGGATAGCCGTGTTTGGGTTCTTCTGTAATGCTCCGGCTCCAAAGTGTGACTCACTCTTTCAATGTTCCTTGATGTCTTTATTTTTACATTAAAAAAGCTGACGACGTTTCTTTCTCGACTTTTCTAATAGTACTTGAACTTTATTTTTACTGATATGAATTGTACAATTTTAGGCTAAAGTTGAATGAAATCTTTAGAATATTTTCTAACTCTTTCTTCTTTTAGGTGGACTTGCGGCACTTGAAACAGACGCCAGACTCAGACCGCATCGGAATGGGGATTGATCTGTCGGAGTACTACATCTCAGTGGAATGGGATATCATGCGAGTCCCTGCCACGAGGAACGAAAAATTTTACTCCTGCTGCGAAGAACCGTATCCTGACATCATCTTCAACATCACTCTCAGAAGAAAAACTTTGTTCTACACGGTCAATCTCATCATCCCTTGCGTTGGGATCTCATTCCTATCAGTCCTTGTATTCTATCTTCCTTCAGACTCCGGAGAGAAAATCTCGCTCTGTATTTCGATTCTTCTATCATTGACCGTGTTCTTCTTACTGTTGGCAGAAATTATTCCTCCAACTTCGCTAACAGTTCCCTTGTTAGGAAAATATTTGTTGTTCACTATGATGCTAGTTACATTATCAGTAGTTGTCACTATCGTGGTGCTAAACATAAATTTTAGGTCGCCAGTTACCCACCATATGGCCCCGTGGGTGCGGAAAGTCTTTATAGATTTTTTACCCAAAATATTATGTATACAGAGGCCAGAAAAACCGCCCGATGACGACGATGATAACGATAAACCAAGCGAGGTAAGAAACACTGAATCTGCTATGAGTCAAGCACAGCACGAAATAAGAACTGAACCAGAATGCATCTCTCAGAAAATCATCAATCATTCGAAATATATTGATGTTTCACCAATACTAGATTAAACCTCTTAGTCCCGGACGTTTTAATTAAATTTGTAAAATAAAAGCTTTCACAAATGAAGTTCTTCAGAAGGAATCTCTTTCAGTACGACAAAACAACACGGCGCCTTTTCTCATTGAGTTTCCTCCATTCAAAACATTTTCCATCGGAACGGATTCAATACAAACAGAACGCTATTACAGCGGAGTCGAAGCCGCCCTCAACAATAACCATTTTAATTGTCCTCAGCCGCGGGACTCTTCTGGGAAACGCTCCTTTCAACGATATTCTAAATCCATTGTACTCTGTGTGTATCGCGAAAATATCGCTTCCAGCCCAATTTCATTCCATTTCGATTTTCCTTTATTACTCAACGCCGGGCGGGCTTAACGAGCGCGCGCGGCCTCCGTTATTTATGTTCCCCTGGTGGCTGCGGACGGATCGCGCGATATATACGATGCCAGCAGGCACGGCCCGAACCGAAACCTCCACTCCGGCCTAATTGTGTGCCGGCTTAAGCTGCGTCGATACACTGGCCCTCGCGGAACGCGCACTGACGTTTTAATCTCCTGGCATTTCATCCGACGCCATTATTACACTGAAACGACCATTTACTCTACTCTCAATTTCTTTGATTGACCTTAACTGTCTATTTAAATAAACTCAAACTAAATGTTCTTTTCAGATACTCACGGATGTCTTCGGCCCGGATGACATGGATGGAAAGTTCAAGGAATGGGGTTGTGAGGAATATGAACTGCCAGGAATGCCTCCTTCCCCTCCGCCTCCACCAGGAGGTGACGACGAACTATTCTCCCCGCCTCCTGGATCCCCGTGCCGCTTAGACTTAGATGATGGTAGCCCATCTCTAGAAAAACCGTACGTTAGAGAGATGGAAAAGACAATAGAAGGTTCTAGATTTATTGCACAGCATGTCAAAAATAAGGATAAGTTTGAAAGTGTAAGTACTCAGTTGCCTTTTTGACAGTTGACACTTTGCACTTCTCTGACAAATAATTTTTTCTAGGTGGAGGATGACTGGAAGTACGTAGCGATGGTGTTGGATAGAATCTTCCTGTTCCTGTTCACGATAGCCTGCGTACTGGGTACGGCGCTCATTATATTCAGGGCGCCTACCTTCTACGACAACACGAAGCCGATAGACATTCTGTACTCAAAGATCGCGAAGAAAAAGTTGGAGCTCCTGAAGATGGGCTCTGAAGGTGACCCGGGTCTCTGAAATTCGTCTTACGTCTTCGGCCACTCGCCGCCGAAGACGTTCTGGGAGTTGATCGTCATGTGGTGGCACGGATGATCTATTTAAGACTCCCAGATGGGAATTACCAGGCGAGAACTATGTGTTTCTGTGCTGTGTGTGGTGCCAAGCGCCCGGTGCGCCAATGGACGTGTACACGCCGTAAGCGTATCCTAAGCCGTCTTTTTATATAGAATCATTAACTCGATGTCAAAACTGTCCGTCGATGTTCGATTGTCGCAGCGACCTCTAGTAACGGCCGTTTTGTGTTGACACCGGATCTGCCGGATCTGCCATAACTATTTTTATATTAGAATCGCTGTATTGAACGTTTATACTTTAAGCGAAACGTTTTCTTTTATAATAATCAACGGAACGATTGTTTTTCGAGTAATAATTTGATACGAGCGCACAAACATTGTACAGTTTATCTTTAGGTGGTGGAGTTAATTTCTTGCGATAGTCGGATTCATTTTCGAGATGGAAACTGACATGATAATGTAATAGATGACTAAATGTAAGATTTACTTCGAATAAATCGAGCTCAAATTCGTAATATGTAAGTATTGTAAAGTGGTAATATTCAATGAAACGTCGATTAGAATCAAACATTTATAATAATAGTTACGTGCAAACGTCCTCGATGAGAGCCGGACTATGTAGTATATGTATTAAATTATTATGAAATAAATTTGAATTATACATTATATAATATTTGATAAACTGCGTACTCGCGTAAAAATCTTAAGGACAATATCGATACTGACGAAATGTAATAATTTCCCTTTAGTAGTATGTCATAAGGGATTGTAGATACAGTTAGGTTAAAAGCCTCAATCATCAGTACTGTAAGACACTTATCATAATGCCAGATAGTTAGTCACATCGCGATCGTGATAATTCTATGATTAGATGTATTTGTGTAAAACAATTGACTGCCAATTGTAAAAATTAAACATTTTTATAAAGATCGGGTATTCTTAGGTAGTTCGATAACTTGTTTTATTAGATTTTTTAAACGGAGTGCCAATCCCACCGACGTGACAGATGTACAAGTTTGCAATTCTACAATGTTCTGTTTCCACGTGCGCTGACTTCACTGTCGTTAGAAGTATCTTTTTGATTCGCTTGAAGATATTCTGATGTATTTATAAGTAAAACGAATGCTTGCCGAAAATGTAATGACTGATCAATACACATCTTAAAGCTTAAGTTTGGAAGCGCCCGCTTGTCCGCGAACTACCGCAGCGAGGCGTGATGTCACACTTCTTCCGTAACCTTAAATATAAACAGTATTTTCACTATAAAACCTAGAGTACAGGGTAAATTTAGTACACGAATGTCTCCTGATTTATATTTCTCACAAATTTTCACTGAATGTAAAGTCTTTACTCACTTATCAGCACTTTACCACTAACACTATTAGATATAATAAATCATTGTTGAGGTTTGTGACTTTAGTACCTAAGTAATTTAGGTAACATTATATTAATTTGTACCTAGATTAGTCTCGTATTAGATGTTCCATTTCGTTCTTGAAATCATGACTCACGATTCATTTGATAGTCATTTATGATTTGAGACGAACGCATCAAGCGTTGTTACCTCACTTCAATCCATTCTGTAGGATATTTGTAGCAGTCTAACGTAATAAAAAAAAAATATTTCGAGCCGCGTATTTGATATGTCAAAGTAAATCATGATAATGTTTATTAGGTAATTACTTAGATAAAATTCAAAGTTATTGATATTAATGATGAATAAAATCCACAGCGAGCAGTTAGGAAAACAGGGATGGATAATGTAAAATAAATTAAAGAAAATCAAATTGTTTTGTGTGGTTCGTCTTCGTAATTATAAGTGTTATTGAATGTGTATAGCTGTTCGTGTCGAGGGTAACGCATAAAAATGGCTAGTTTAGAATTAGATCATACGTAATAAATTAAAGAAAACGGTCTAACGTATTAGACGTCGTGGAAGCTCGCTAAAGGTTGAAACATGTTAAATATTAGCAAGATACGGCAAACTGCTCTCACACACGACCTGGCTCTAAAGGAATTATCGGAAGGAATTGTAAGTTGTCCTCAACTATGCTGTTAATTTTTCTAAATGAATCACTCACGTGGATTAATAAAAAGTAGGATCGTGCTATTGCACCACCGAAATACACCAATTTAGTGTAATAATAACTATTTATCAAATAATGTTTAATTAAGTCCACCGGCTTGGCACACTATCCCGTATAAATCATCCGAACTTTAATTGTAGATATTTGCTAGATAAAACGGTCTGTTGTTATTTTTATATGAATGCAAAATGATGAATAGTTAGATTTTCTATAACACCATAGGGTAAAGTGGTAGGTTGGAGTTTGACGTTCAGTTTGAGGTGTTAGGGGTTAAGTGAACAATTGTATATATTTGGAGCGTGAACTATGGAGCTAAGTGTAGATTGGATCGGGTTCTATTTGCAACGACACAGTATAAACCGACTGTAAACCTTCTGTTGGTGTACTGCAACATTTTCAATGGTTTAATGTTGAATTTAATGAGCTATGTCGATACAACGATTTATGGCCCATCTTGTGGTGTTATTTCATTCAGTGTTCGTGGCGGACTCTGATTTTTGTACTGGTTTATACATTTTGTATTTATGTATTTATTTACGCATATTTATATGATACGAAGTTAGTTTGAGTACTAACTACCAGGTGGCATGCATAGCACATTAATTAACTGCACTGTTAACATGCTTTGAGCATTATGCCAATTAGACTACGAAAATAAATATTCAAGATATAACTTTCGGGCTATGATCCGCCTGGAAAAGGCACCATTTTATACTGTTCCTCAAAATACCTTAAATCTACGTATATTGTATATTTCGAATTGCATTTATTTATTGGAAAAAATAATATTTAGTTTTTCTTCTGAATATACTTTTTTATAACAAGTTTTGTTAGTCAATATTGTAATGTATTACACATAATATGCACTGAATGTATTCTTAAAAAAGTTATATATATATGTTATATTAATTATAATATATTATATATTGTATAATTGACATTATTCTTGGATATTCTACAAGAAATATTATCTATGTACATGTATGTATAATAACAACTTATTCCATATTTATTTTCGTGAATTTATTATAATATTTTAAATCTATCATACTTGTGTATTTGATATGAATTAATATATGTATATTATACAAGTCGGCTACAAAAATCAGAGTCAAAATTTAATTTTGCAATAACAATTTCACATTTCAAACTTCGTCGCAGTTGTCAGTAGTGTACTCAAAGTGATCGCATCCAGCTCAATATTATATTATTTTATAACATGAGATCCCAGATCTGATTCTGTTACACTCTGTCTTTAAGACCTGTTTCGTTATGCTATATACTTGTCTCTCAAAAACTTGTTATTATATATAATATTTCGGGTGATAAACGGGTAATTGAACGTGTAGAATTCGGTCATATAATTGACACTAGATAGATAAATTAAAACAATAAAAACATTGCTAGTAAACACTTGTCAATAATATTAAACGTATGTTATAATGTATATTTAATGTTAAGGTATATAATTACGATAAATGATTAGCTTCTCAGTGTTTTTAGAGTTAGTCGACGAATGAGTCAACTTGGCGGCTCGGTGTCAGATAAATTTGTTACTTACCGTCAGATTCAGTTATTTTAGATTTTTGACGAAAAAGGTTGGGATCGTGCCAAATATTTGTTATTCCTAGAACTGTAGATTAGACTAGACTAGAGTTATTGTTATGTTTGTACATTGTTTTTACTCCATTTAATGCTAAGACTTATTTACCAACAAGTTTATCTACATCGGGTGACAGAGTTGTAAACTCATAGTCAGCTATCATATGGCTGTCAATAATTTTAAGAATCAACTTGACCGAAATGTTGACGTGTAAATATAGCAGATCAACATAGAATTTTAAATAATATTTATAATTGACAAGTTATTTTTCTACGTTCGTTTCACTTTATCTTTAGAGCTAACGTAGAAGTAGCGGAGGGATGCCGACGTAGGTATATTGACATGTCGATAAATGTTGTTACAGCAATAAGGCCTTCAACAGTTTAGTTAGAATTTATCATAAAGCATTTTATTTGACTTACATGTAAATTGAATATGTTTTGGAAGGAAGTCAGTATAAATCCGTAACGCTTTATAATTAGGTTCGACGAAATCTAGAATTTCGAATAGTCATTTCTTCTACACATTTTGGATATGCTTTATTGCACGTTACCTTTCGTTCGCCTTTGGAATCGTTTTTTCTTAATCTTACATTATGAAATAATCTTTATCTATAAATATTCGAGTAAGTTAGAAGTATTCGCATGTTTAATCAAACGTCTTCCAAAGTGACGTAAGGTATTGTTATTTTCTTCTTCTATTTTATTTATACCTTTTCTTATTTTTGTAAATTCATGAGTGATTCTGTTTTTCTTCGTCGAATATTTATTTTGTCCGTAACCTTTTCTCTATTGTTAGGTTTATTGTTGCAGTGGTCTTAAATAATAAAATAAAATCACTTTTGAAATATACAATTTTGATGTCGGCTCGACGACATCAACTTCAGGCTCATCTTAATATTGATAAAAAAACAATAACATCTTTCTTTTCTTTAGTTGTAGCAGACATTGGAGTACCTATATAACTCTGCAATCTTTGAAAATAAACTTAACTAAATTAACTACTTTTCTATATAAAAGAACACTGCAACTGTCTTTCAGGTTGTGGCTCTGTGAGACTTACAAATAAATATATATATGCACATAAAGATCAATTTAAAAAAATAGTGGTTATTATTGTTCTAAAATAAAAATATAGTTTCTCAGTAGTATGGATTTTTGTGTATAAAAATAGGAAAACTACATAACATGCTCGTATATGGCTGATATGCGAAATAAAAAACTTATACTTTGAAGGTTTCGGCTGTACTGAAAATCCTCTGTAATTGACTCAAAATATTTCTAAACATTTTCTTGAAATAATAATTATAAATTGTCAGTTTATCACCGATCTGCTAATAACTGTATTTTTTTATTTAAAACAATTGACAGTTATTCTTCTTATTCTATATTATTTGTAATTTTGTAATTCTCACAAAACAACAATCTAATTCAACAGCCAACATAAAGCTGTTAAATAATTTCTATACTTCATTTATTTAACCTTCCTAGTTTACTGATGTTATAGAAATAGAATATAAAGAAAATGTAATTAATAGGTAGATGAAAACCACACGAAATTTGCGTTGAGCTTCCAACACGATTAGATGTAAATACAGAAATAAATAAACCACTATTCACACATATAGACACTTCCTTCTTTCATATTATGATACATAATATTATGTATTATTATTACATATAGCTGTTTAGAAATACTGGCGGTCAAAAAACTCAAAAGAAAAAACTATTACCTCTATATATACCAAAATAATTTTGATAAGACAAAAAAAACACAAAAAGGCAATGTACCATATTTTCAAGAGACCTAAAACATAATTTTCTGCATTGTTAGGACACTGACACACCGGATCAACTGGCTCAATATGCAACTAAGCATTCAATATACCTCTATAATATAACTATATTAAAAATTCCCACATTAATACGTAGATACAGTGAATTAGAAATATCAAGCCACTTAGCAATTCAAAGTATTTATTACCTGACTGACAAAGATGACTCTTAATACTTATCTTCCATGTATAACGTCACTATATAAACATACAAAATGTAGGTAGAGTATAAAAAGTTTGATAGTCAGTATTTCTAAAATGCTTTCGTTATCTTTGCAATAACTATTAAATTATAATTTAAGTTGTGTGTGCCTTATTTTATTAGTTCTGATTGGTCTTATGCTTTTACCGTGGAAAGGTTTAAAAACACCGACACCAAAACTTATATGGTAAATTATGTAATAAAAGTTAAAGTATTTAAAATCAAATTCCAGGTAGCAATCGTGGTCTTTTATAACTCTAAATCAAATAATATTGTCTATACATTTCGGAAATCTTCAGTCGCAATGCGGGCCCAGAGTTTATTGGACTAATTCCCATACATTTACTATGGACTATTATATAACAGCAAAGTGCAGCAGGTCTCAATATCACACAGGGGATCGCTAAGCAGTCTATGCACTACGTCGTCGTATGTTGAAACATGTTCAATGTTCATTTATACTGTAACAGACAATTTGCCGTGGCACTGCGGGCCAGCACGCATTACAGTGCCAAGTTTAGAATTCAACCCTGCATTGCGCTATCCAGGACCTGACACAATTTATACTCACCTAAAACTTTAGAGGTAACACTTCGAAGGGGACGGACTTGGAAAAAAATATTGGTTTTTAATCTTCACCACGGTAACACGCTACTAAAACCTTTAGTAACTTTTGTAATATAATTATACCTTTTGTGTGCTTCAAGTATTCTAGAATTAGTTACCTTAGTTAACTAACCAAAGTTAGTTGAGATAATTTTATCAATGTCTTTAACGGACTTGTATTTAAGGCAAAGATTGTGTATATCTTTAATTTAAACGAAAGCAATCGTATTCGTACTATATTATATGTGTAAGTTAAAAGTTTTATATTGTCGAATCATTGTAATAATTTGGTGTCGCAACGACATATAGGATAAGTGTATGTTCGAAAATTTTCGTCTTGTAATATTACTAAGTGTAATTAATGTCCTCGACTAGTAATTATAATAATTTTTTGTTTGTTATTGAATTATTTTTCACCTTTCTCGTCACGAGTAACGGTGTTTGTTGTGAAGGAGTTGAAGATATGATCGAATCTAGATATACAAATATCAGAAAAAATATAGAACTCAAATAACTGTACAATGTCAAAGAATGATCTCCAGTCGATGATTTGCAATCTTTTTGTATTGGAAAACGATTCTTATTAAACTGTCAAATACCAAGCGGTCACCGGTGACCGCAACCTATTGTTCTATAATTGTGTCTGCAAAACCGGTACTCGACGAGTTAATTGAACATAACCTGATAATTTATGAATTCATCAAATTAGAATTGAATCTATCTACAACTCCTACAAAACGAGCTGACCAGTGAAAATGGCATTACGCAAACGAACACCATACTAATGATACAAAATATAGATGATAGATAGTAACGTGAGAGGAAATTCCTAAATTATTTTAATATGTAAGGTACTATAATATTACGTCATACAATAATAGACTTCTATGGGTATCTTGTCCTCAATAGATATAGTATTAGGAAAATAGTCGACTACAGGTACTGTTAAACTGACGCGGTCGCGCGAACCGGCGGCGCGATTTGTTAATTAAAGTGACAGCTGACTAGCGCTCGTAATGGAACGATTCGTTTAAATAAATTAATATAATAATAACAATTTTGAAGATGGAGAATTTTTAAATGTATGTGTAGGTTAAGTACGGTTAAATTGTCGCGTCAGTCAGCTTTGTTTGTATAGGGTCGTGCCGCGTCAAGTCGCGCGTCTTGTACCGCGTCAGTGTGGCCTTACCTTTACTGTTCAGTCACTTGTATCACGAATTCATTGCCACTTGATACTTTTAAGATTTATGCACTATGCTATGATATACAAATATATATAAATATATTAATAATAATCGTATTGTTTGTTCTAAGTCATAATAGCTCAATAATTTATGAACTTCGTATTGTAATAAATAGTTGTAAGCAATTATTATAATGTACTAGGAAAATGCAAAGTTTAGTGTAAGGCGAAATAATATACATAATAAAAAAATAAATAATTTAGACCTTAAGGTTTAGAATGTAAGTCCCATTTTGTAATGTTAATTAAAAATAAAAAATCAAGCACAACCATTACCATTATGAATACACTCATGACTTCTTACTGCTAACATTGAAATGTATTATAAATATGAACTATAAATATTAAATGTTATGCGTTAATAATAAACTTGGGCGTTTTATTCCTATATCTCCCATTTTCACAAAGACACACATCACAACACTTAGTGGTACCTTTACAATATCATTTTATACAATTTTTTATTATGGCATTAGCCGGTAAACCGGATCACCTGATGGAAAGCAATCGATGTCGCCCATGGACACCTGGAACACCAGAGGCGTTACAATGGCGTTACTGGCCTTTTAGGGATTAGGAGTTTGAGGATCGTTGGGGATTCAAGGATTGGGGATATTGGGGAAGGGGAGGGTAATTGAGCCTCCGGTAACCTCACTCACACGACAAAACACAACGCACGCGTTGCTTCACGTCGGTTTTCTGTGAGGCCGTGGTATCACTCCGGTCGTGTCGGCCCATTCGTGGCCAAGGATGGCTCTCCTATAGTGATATACAGTGATACAATGCATAATACAAAAACAAATATAATATAACTACTCAATAAACAATTAAATTGAATGATTCTCAACGTAGCTTAACATGCTACGTGATTTTGGATTCGATGTCAAATTTCATATAGTACAGAAAATGCAATTGTGGTCAGTTGATAGCAATGGAATCATACCTAGTATAACATACAAAATGTAATAATAATAGTCATTACATCACCACAGTGACATCTATACAGATAAACGAAATTTGAATGTCTGTTTGTAATATTAAAATATTCGCTGTTTACTACATGCATCTGAATATACGATACACATACAGTAAAATGGGGTGAATAGGGTTTCAGCGGCGAAAAGGGACAGAAGAGGGGTGAATAGATATAAGGAAATTCTTCATAGTATCGATTCACCCCTCTTCTGTCTCTATTCACCACACGATCCCTATTCACCCCATTTTACGGTACTAAAATATTTTTTTTTTTAATTTTTTGTCTGTCTGTCTGTTTATACTGACTAATCTCTGGAATGGCCCGACCAATTTACTTTGACTAAGGAGTAACATAAGCTAAAATTTATATTGTACGTAGACGAAGTCGCGAGCAACAGCTAGTTAAATAACCAGAAATAACCATACTACATGAAAGAAGTACAAAACAACGAAATTATCAAATCAATTTATTCTATCCAAAATGGCTGCTAAACAAGGCCCAAGGGTTTAAAGCGGTATCCAGTTTAGGCGATGGAGCGTTATAATACCCTTTCACCAGGTCGACCAGGGATATAGGGCAGGAGAAGTTATCACAACTGGAGAGTATGCTGCCCAATCTGTGGGCAGCGTCATAAGCTGCTTGCTCCATTGGCTCAGAAGCCAGAACCTTTGTCATCGGTAAACTGGAAAATAAAATTAATTTTGTTAAACAACTGCATATAATATTCATTTAGTACGAAGCTGCTGGACCTAGCTGGAATTGAATAAGTCATTGAGGAGGAGGCCCTTGTTATACAGCGGACAATTTATAACAGATTAAATTACTCCTCAAGTGCGACTGCTAAACAAAAGGTTCTCGGGTAGAGAAGTGCTAATAGTCTGAAATTGTGCATAGACAAGTGACTCATAAGACAACTGTTACATTATAAAGCGACTATTACATACATTGTTTATGTTCACCTATGTCTGACCTCTTGAACATTATGTTATGTTATAGTAATTGCTAGAACAAGCTTACTGCGTACTAACCGGACTGGGTTCGATCCCCAGACTAAATATAGCAATCTAGGGATTTTCGATTGCTTACTTCATAACATGGAGTCTGGAATTGTGCCAAGTTTTTCAAAATAGGCTTACGCGACTGCCTTAATAGGAGTACCTGCAATGGTACTGTTGGAAAATAGTTGGAAACTGAATATTCGGATGGTGTGGATATCACCTTAGTTTTCTTCGTATGGGAATGATAATGAAATTGTGATGCCTCTGGTGTTGCAGATGTACTTAGATTGTAGGTTCATGTTTACTAGAGGTCACCACTGTCCGGTCTCAGTCAATGTTAGTAGGGTTCGAAGACATCCATGGAAGTAGACGTGATGATTTGTGCTCACTGATAGTAGAATAATAAAAAACCATAGATAGTAAGAAATATTAACTTACGTGAACAAAGTCCTGAACATTTCCTCAACCATGTTCTCTCCGTGAGGTACGAGTCTCTGGGTCGTCTCACATAAGGTTTTCAGAATGCACTGTCTTCCATTGTAACCCATACTGGAAAAATAGAATATGAACTATATTTATATAACACTACAAAGTATCTGATAAAAAGACTGTAATACTAATAAATGTAAGGTATCCTCCAAGATATGCATCATATTTACCTACATAGACGATTGCCCAATAATTTTTGATTCAGTCTTTGATTAACTTTCATCTTCTATCCCCGATTATGAAAAATCCCCAACATTTGTTCATTCAAAGTAGTCTCTAAACATTGGAAATAAGGTATATAACGGAGTAAGTAGAGAGCGGTCACTGATGACCGCTTGAGGACTGGTCCGCTTACATTCGAAGCGCATAAAATTTTTAGACCAAACTTTGTAGTACAAACTGAAACTTGACTATAACTTACTTTTCCATGATCTTCTCCAACTTCTGATAAAGTTCTCGCCTACTTCTCCTCTGAGCCATGGGTTTAGACAGCCGATTGTATCTTCTATAAAATTTGCTGGTTTCTGTGGCGTTGGGCAGCTCGTATGCTATGCCCCAGTTCATACCCCATGTGAAGGTACCGGGAGCGGAGCTTGGGGCCGGCTGACCAATCACGCCAACTGTCATGCAGCCTGCACACTGGAATATGTTGAAAATGATGATTATGAATAATATTCAGAACAATATTAGAATATCAACTAATCTAAGAAGGTTTAACTAGTTTTAAGAAAAGAAAAAAAATAAAAAAATATATCACGCAAAAAAACAAGTGACGTGTACAAATGTGTCATTCTGTTACTAGGTACTGATGAATATATGTTCATGTCCCAAGTCTGCCGTGAAATGGGACCAGTTCAGCATGTGCAAGACAGGGCCTTGCGCTGGTATGCTACTGGCCCCTAAAGGACTCGCGAACGAACTAGCCTAGCGGTTTTCTATGCACCATGGTAAATATAACATAATATCATGACGTCACGGCTTTCATTACCCGAAAGTGATTGACACAGTCTCGCATGTAAAATGTGAACTTCCACATTCACCAGTTATGATATCAGTCTCATACTAGAGGTGCCTAATATACTGGGCAGAATTAGTCAACGTTTGCATTTAAAAACTTACTCAGGCCGTGATTTTACTGGCTAGGTATTCAAAAGGCAAAAGTACGTAGTAATCCATACATACAACATATCCCTACACCACCATAGAAAATATACTATATGGCGAAAAAAACGGCGATCATAAATCGCGAATAAGACATAAAAAACTGTCTTAAAATTTAAGAGAGATAAAATTCCAAAAAGTACGTAATCAACCAGGTTTTATGTCACCGAATGATACGTTTTAAGGTCCTGTATCTAATATAAGAAGTACCTACTTATAAACATACGACTTTGTTATTAACTTTTGTTCTAAATTAAATCTTAGGCCATTACAAAAAAGAACGTTTTTAGCTGTCTAGTTATACACGTACTATAGTTTTATCGATAAATCAATTATAGACTTATTGCATTACTCAATAAAAGAAATAATTAAAAAAAAAAAAAATAGAGTCTCCTTAATTTTTGGCACTAATTAATCCACATACTACGTAAAAGATTCTTAGACAACAATTTACAATGTCACACATCCATTATTACTGTCAATGTAATAACTATTAATAATAACAACTAATTAAAAAACTTACAGAAAAACTGGAACCTTCAGGGAACGCGACATATCGTTTCCTTCTCGATAGCAACTTGGAAGCACACGTTTCACCATAAAACCATGTGAGTAGCAAAAACAAAAGAAACTGTTTATTCATTTTTTTGGTTATTTTTTCGAAATCTCGTGTCCAACTTCGTACCTTGGTTAGAACGATATAAGTAATAGACATTCCGTTAAACCTTGTTACAATAACGGTTTCCATAATTTTCATGTTCTTAGAGTTAAGTGTAGGAACACGAACTGACATACTGGACTAAAATGTGTTAGCATGCATGTCATGTTTAGCTGTCAATTACATAAAATTGGAATTTAGTTTATAATTTACGTGGACTCGTGTTTTAAATTATTTCAAAGTAATTATTGTCGATGATAATACGAGTAGCATGAAATTACTATTAATAACAGACAATTTATAAATATTCGAAATAAAAATGAAATTATTTTTTACAAAATCAAATTATAATAAAAAATATAATTACATTCATTTTACTCAACTCTTAGTACATACCTCTAAACGTAGATATAATTCACATATAAAAATAAATACACTGAGTCAGATTCTATTCCACTAAAAGGGATACAAATACAATACACAAAATAAATTAAAATACAAATACAAATTCTAAAATATTCAAGCAATTACAGCAAGACGGGCGTCCAAATATGAAAAGTTGATTAATTATTTTACAGTAAAACACACTGAATACCTTTTACAATTGGTTATTGAACGTCGATTCATGTACTTGTTAACGCGGGTTTCTGTCAAAATTGGGAATCAATTATACCCAAAAGTTACTCTCGAGTAAATGCTTTTAACCCTTCATCATATCTCTTTAGTCCATTGTTGGATTATATTTGGAAAATGATTGGATAAAATTTGCTTTTTAATTTTATTCAGAGTATTTATGGTCGGGAGATCTTTTGAAAGTGGAATTTTTGATTGGAGTTTTGAAATTAATACATAATTAAAAATGTTAAATACAAATACAAAAAGATTGTATTAATTAGGAAGATGGAGTCAATATTAATTAGTAATACAAAATTAATATATAACCTGCGATATTCCTATCTGTGAAGTTTAAATAAGAAAATAGTAGTTCTTATTCGTTGTCATTTCTATCCTTATAAGATTTTATGTATCATAAGAAAAGAAATGTACAATAATGTCATAGTAGGAAAAACTATACAAAAAAATCAGTCCTACTTGTTATTAATTTAGAACGAATTAAGTTTATATAAAAACGTTCGTGAGATATACTGTATTAATTATTGTATTTTCGGTTTACTCACTAGCTGCTAGAATAGCAGTGCTATAGTCGTCGCGTCGCGGGTCACGGAATGCTACTCATGAATATGAGTCACTAACATGGCTTGAAACTAGTCGAGTTCCTCGTCAAATAATTACGTGAATAAGCCGAATACGTAAGCAATTGAGTATTAAACAGACGTCACAACGATTTACATTTATGTAATATATTATTTATAATCTTAAAAACTAATAACTTAACTAAACTCGCTCCCTATAGCGCTTTTCCTAAAAATAATTGTTGAAGTCCTAATCTCCCATTTATTTCTAAATGTGACTACACAAACATAACAATACAACCTATATCTAACCCACCTATGGACATTTAGAATAAAAACACATCAAAATAAATTCTATCCAAAATTACTACTAAACAATGCCCAAGGGTTTCTTCCCAAGTCAACTTTTGGTGCAGGAGCATTGTAATAACCCTTGATTAAGTCCACCAATGAGATTGGACATTTGAACCTATCACAGGAGTTGACGATACGGCCCAAACGATGAGCGGCATCATATATTGCATGCTCCAAAGGCTCCGTTGGTAGGACTTTCGCTGGTGGCATGCTGTTGAAGAAAAAGAAGAAACATTTACTCTAGTATCGTAATCCTTGTATTGCACGCTATTTTTGAGTGTATTCTACTTAAAATAATAAAAAATGGTAACCGTAACTAACATATTCTTATTTTAAGGGGTATATCATCCAATGACTTCTCCTGCCCGAACAAGGCGAGAGAGAGTATCAGACTCTTACTGACTATAAACTACCCCGTTACTACTCGTACACTTCGAGCCGGAGCTCCGGTAATTTGAGTCCTCCGCGGCTCCGTGTCAGCATCAGCCCTATTGGGCCCCATCTGATGGCTCTATGAGACGCGCCGTACTCTCGGATCCGGTTCTGGTCGGGCGGCAAGTCACCCGTACAATCGAACTAATGTCTAATTGTATTTTTTTATTCAGCAAAAACTGTCTCTCAGTCCACAAACCACAAAATTTATTTTATATATTTCTAAGTGATATAATAAATCAATGTATACTATACTGTATACTCACGTGAATAAAGTTCTGAACATCTCTTCAACCACGTTGTCTCCATGCGGGACTAGTCTTTGAGTGGTCTCACATAGCGTCTTCAAAATACATTCCCTCCCACTATATCCCATACTGAAAATGTTTAAAATATTTATTATAATAACCTCTACCATAGCATGACAAACGGTACCTACTCGGTATGTACCATGTACATTTCATGATTAACTGTTATGACTGCACCAAGCCTGTTACAAGTTATTACCGAGAAATGACAATGACCAAATTTGTATGGAGCGTGGTGCCTTTTCATTTTTTCGCGGCAGTTGATCGGTTGTGGAAAAACTGATGCAGAATAACATTACAAACAAAAAAATATATGGAGTCTTATATCAAAAACACAGTCCAAACCGAGTTAAATCAGTTCAAAGATGTGAAAATAGTGCTGTATTATACCTGTCATTTTGTTGACGGTGACCGTACACAATGCATATTTCTTCATTTACTTGTCAGAAATATTTTGTAATAAATGATTATAAACGATTTCAAGGAATGTAATAAAGCTTTTTGTAGACTATTTTATTATTATTTTTTTTTTGTTTTTTTTTTTTGGCCTTATGGCCACGGAACCAGAACAGAGTGAACCATTAACTGGCCACAGCTCAAGTAAAAAAAAATATTTCGCTTGATTGGCTAGCGTATTCACTTTATATGTATACGGTTTATGGCCTATGACAGATTTTCATGATCAATTTCCTCTCAGTCGAAAATCCGCAAAATACTTTCATGAAACCCTATCATGAAATGCTATGTTTGTCAGCTGCGGCGTCGGTAGCGGATT